ATCATTTGCTAGTAAACTATCCAAAATAGTTTTTCCAATAATCAATGAGTTTTCAAATCAAATGAGTGTTTTGCTTAATACATGTGGAATTAAAAAAACTTTGACTAAAAAATTTAGTTCTCTTTTAGATTTAAAGAGCTTCTATACTTCCTTTATTGAAAATAAAAGTAGTCTGATAAAAGTTAACGTTAATCCCAACTTGGATAAGGCTTTAAATGCTGATAATGGCTATGACACTGATGTTCAAGAAAAATTGATAGAAATAATTAATAATAGTTTACAAGAAGCAATTTTAGAAATTGAAGTAATTCATAATGAACCAGAGATAAACAATGTCGATGAGGTGTTGGCTGAGATTAACCAAAGCATCATTTCTTTTCAGAAAATGTTCACTCAAATATCCCTTAAAGACATTTGTGAAGAAGGGTTGGCTTCTATTTCTGAGCAAGCTCATGTATCGTTTAATAATCACCAAAAATCTAAACCATTATTACAACGTTGGTATAGACCGAATTTAAAAAATAAGTCTAGCATGGAAAAATTTAATGTAAAAATAGGGAGTCTTTTTCAAGCAGAACTGAAAACATGGGTTGTCATGAGTATTTTTCGAAAAGCATACAACAAATGGAGACCAACAGAAAGTTGTGAAGTTCCTGTTGATAAAAAAGGCTTAGTTTTAATACATTCTACTTTAGCAGAATATGGAGTCTTAACCGGTAGCTATATGCTACCATATCAAAATGTCGAAAACGAAGAGATAAAGGACAATCAAAAAAAGTATTTTATGAAAATTGATTGCTATGAAATAACTGAATGGCTTGCTGCTGATTAAACTTTTATTAGAATTAACTTTTGAAGTTTCCTTTTGGTTTATTTTAAAACTGTTCTTGGTATTCCATTTATAATTTTGCATTGTTTTGTGTATATATTTATTTCATAACTATGTATCAAAGAAAAATTGTTTTTTTTTAGAATGTTAAGTGGAAAAACGCAGTTCCCCACTGCACTGATCTATATTTATACATATATATATATATATATATATATATATATATATATTATATATATATATATATATATATATATATATATATATATATATATATATATATTTATAGATATATATATATATATATTGATCTATATTTATATATATATATATATATATATATATATATATATATATATATAAATATAGATCAATATATATATATATATATATATATATATATATATATATATGTATGTATGTATGTATGTATGTATATATATATAATAGGGTGTTACAAAAAACAATATTAAAAAAAAAATCTGCTCCCACTCTCTAAATGTGTTCTATATAAGGGGCCATCCATAAAGTACGTACGCAGGGATAGGGAGGGGGTTTGCCAAAAGCGTACAAGCGCAAACAAGGGGAGGGGGAGAGGTATTAAAGACAGTGAGTACGTACGCGGTTTGACTATCTCTCCTAAACATGATTTTATTTTTTTTAAAACATTGAACTTCACGTGTGTAACAAATCAGAATAGTGTTTTTTTTTTCTGACCAGTTTTTTTTTCTAGATTCAGAAAAAAAAACGAGTTAATTTTGAAAAAAAACAATGCGTACGTACGCGGAGAGTCTTTGAAAGCGTACAGGTTTGTAAAAGGGGGAGAGGGTCTTCAATCAGTGATTTTACTGAGTACGTACTTTATGGATGCCCTCTAATATAAAAACACTAGATTTAACATTTTTTGACGAACCTTGCTTTGAAAAATGGCCCTCTACTCAAAATAGGTTGCCAACCATTAGTTTGACATAATGTTGCGCCTAACCTATCGTTGCGTCTGTTACGCAAGTTTGAAGTTTTAAAGGCAATAACTGAGTATTTAGTATTCTTCTAACAATATCTTCTAGAACAAAAGCTTTCCAAAATAAAAACACTAAAAAACCTACAATCTTATAGCTTTAAACTTATTGTTAACAATATAATATAAATGTTAACACTATAAAAAGCTTTTATTTTTTTTTAACTTAAAAAAACTTTATAACTTTAAACTGACTGTTATATCAATATCAACTTAAATGTATACGGGCAAATCCGATTTTAATTATAGCATGTTAACAAAAGGTTATTAAGAATAAAACCTTTTTTAAAACTTTTTTTATTTTTTTTTCCTTTATAAAATTATTTAAAATCTAATATATATTTTTCAGTATTCTTAGCTTCTTATTAAATGTTTTTAGCTTCTTATTAAATCCAGCTTCTTATTAAATGTTTCACTATATTTTGTTCAATAAATATGCGGAGAACTACCGTACGCCTCAATTTTTTCATTGCGCCTCTAGACCTTCTTTGCGGTCGTGCGGGTCTTTAAAAAAACTCTGAAGGTCTTCCGTTTTCGCTACGCGGTTGTGCGGGTCTAAATGTAAGCTCAGAAGGCCTTCAGATACCCTTACGCATATAGATGTCATCCCTCCTTAATTAGCTCTTGTTCTAATATATTTTTTAAGTAAATATTGTGTTTGCATCTTTACCATACAAGCGATAATAGGTGGTATCACCGAATCCTAATCCAGCCCAACAATTGCCAATCAGTTTTAGTTGGCTGTTCCTACGCCAGAGGTTATGCAGCACTATTCTTTTTTTTTTTTTTTTTTGAATATACTTAGGCTGCAAGCACAGACACACACCCATACTAACAGCACATATACACCCATATGTATACCAGTATACATACATAAATACATACATACATAGATACACATACACATTTATACATAATTTATTATTTTTATTTTATTATTTTTTTTTTTTAATTTTTTTTTTTTTTTTTTTTTTTACAAAACCGTGTTATAAAAACCGTAATAATTTTTCTTTTTTAAATACTAAATAAAAAATAAAATAAACCTAAAAATTTATACATACTAGCAATATAAAATATAAAGCAATATACAATACGAACTCAAATAATAAATAATTATACATCTATTCATAGCTGTAAGTTTCAGTACAATCTCAATGTAACTATATACTTAGGTAAAGTTTTAATAATAGGTAGACAAACCCATAACACTAGTAATATAGAAAAACGTTCTCCATAGAAAGAATTGGATTTTTAAGCTTAGTTTTGAAAATAGAAAAAGAGGAAGGTAGATCAAAATTTTGCAAATTAACTTTTTCCAAAGATTAGGTGCACGATAATCAATACAAAGTTAATTAAACTTGGTTCGACATAAAACTTGATTTAGCAAATTATTATTTCTCAGTGCATACTTATTGTCTGGTTTCAAAGTAAAAATATTTTTAAAAACGGCAGGAGATTTTTAAAAGTTATTTTTCCACATATATACAAAACATAGAGTATTATATAAATTCTTTTCATAAATATTAAGTATTTTCATTTTGTTAAATAAAGAACCATTACGGGATAAAAAAATTGATTTGCACACATGATACAAAGACTTTTGCATTTCTCACAATAAACCGTATGGATCCCGTACTATATTTATATAAGTTTTTGAAGAAAGGATTTTATCCCTCTTCGTTCCCAAAAAAAATCAGTGTGATGATTTAAATGCTTTTTACGCATTTAAATTAGGCAATGTTTTAAAGGAAAACTACGATCAGCATATTAGTGAGAAAAATAAGGCTCGAGTTGAAAAATAACATGACAAACAGAAGGCAGTTGATGGTGAAATATACTGTTTGACGGCAGACATGGAATCTGTTAAGCTAACCCGTATGACAAAGGCAAGTGCATTTTATCATAAGACGAAGCTATGTTAATATAATTACACTGTTTACAAATTAGCTAATAGACATTGCGAATGTTACTGGTTTTCAGAAGAAGAGGGGAATTTATCGGCTAACACATTTTTCTCCTGTTTGCTATTTAAAGGAATATTGTCTATCTCCTTGCCGCCCCATTGTAGTGAACACAGATTGTTGCACAAATCAAAATCGTAACCAATTACGACTCAGTTCGTCCAGGAAAAAAGAAGAGTGACATATGTGTCGTTGATATTCGCTGTTGCACAAATTAAAATCGTAACCAATTACGACTCAATTCGTCCAGGAAGAAAGAAGAGTGTCAATACAATCAATACAATCAATGCAATCAATACAAATTATAATTTTGTGGATTTGCCTAAATGACCAATCAAAGTTTAAAAAGATGAGTCACTTATACAACTATTTAAGGAAAGGATTCTTTTCCATACACCAAATGGAAACATTTACAAAACTTGAAGTATGTCATCCCAGAGGATTACCATCACTTTTATGACTCCCTTCCTTACAAGAAATAATTTTGTGAGGACAACTGCAGGTGTTGGAGGATACTTAAAAGTTACCCATTAGAACATCAAAGAAGATATATGGGGTTATGTAACTGTTTAAAATTAGTATTTTTTTAAAAGACTGTCTTTCTACTGTTTTATATGCTTTTTAGTTAATAAATTATGTCTTTTTTCATTTTAGACAAAGCAGTTTTATTATTGACTTACCCTCTTAAACAACATTTATCTCAGACAAAACTTTAGGTCAATTCCACGTATCTTAGAAAATTATATTTCAAAGTAAAAACTTTTGTTTCTTATTCTAAAATGTTGATTTAATCAAATCAACATTTTAGAATAAGAAACAAAAGAATTTAATAATATTACGTTTTTTTATTTTTTTATTTCTGTAGTTTTTTTGAAAAATAAATTTTTTGGCTCTCCTGAAAAGTTGTGATATTTTAGATACGTGGTGTTGGAATTCAACGATATATATATATATATATATATATATATATATATATATATATATATATATATATATATATATATATATATATATATATTTTATATATAAATCAGGCGCGGATCTAGCGTTTTTTTATGTTTGAGATCTTCCAGACATGGAAAAAACTTCTTGATATGGAAAAAAAAATTTGCAAAAATGCGAAGATTGAAGTGTGGGAAAAAGAAAGCCCTAACGATTTGGTCACAACTACCCGAAACATGAGACCAATAAGTTGATAAAATATTTTTTTACTATTCTTAAATAAATTTATATTCATCGATAAACTCTAAATTTAATACGATAACTACTTAGTGTTCAAAAGTTATGACTATACAAAGTTTGATAATCATAACCTAAACTGATTGTTAATGACAAAGAATGAGTGCGAATTAGAAACCTTAATTTAAAAAATAATTATTGAAGCAAACACACAAAAATGAAAACGGTGTTGTTATTTTTGTTTAATATGTTAGTTACGCTCCTTGTGATCGTCGCCATAATGTTTGTCTTCTAATATCATATTCGAAGTTTTCAAATCTTTTCATTAGTCCGTATAGTGCGCATGAGAGAAGACATGTTCCTATCCCAGTCAAAATAAATCCAGCTAAGCTAAGTGTAATAAAAACCATCTTATTCTAAGAAGTGTTCATTTAATTTGTATCATCCCAATTTTAATTTTTTTTTTTTGATCACCAGCCATGCATTTATTGCATTGGTAAGAGCTCCTCTGATTGTTTGCAATTCTTTGTGCAGGTTGCTTTTATTGACTTCTATACACGGATTCAAACGTAGAACTGTTAAAGAAAAAAGAATAATTAGCAAAAAAATATTTAAATGATTATTTAAAAATTGTTTTCATAAATGTTTGATTTTATTTTTTACCAATAAATTTTTGTAAAATTTATTGATTAAATTTTTGTAAAATTCATTGATTAAATTTTTGTGAAACTTATGGATTAAATTTTTGTAAAACTTATTGATTAAATTTTTGTAAAATTTATTAATTAAATTTTTGTAAAATTTATTGATTAAATTTTTGTAAAATTTATTCAACTGTTTGCTTAAATTTAATCTGACATATAAAAGAGAGAAAGTGTTGAAGTTACATTTAACTCAAATTTTGAGTTGATTATAACTTACTTTGCCAGAATAGGGTAGACCAGGCACATTGCCAATATATGCCAATTGGTTAGTTGAGTTTATTCAAAGCTATGCGCTTTAACATACCGGAAATTTATGTAAAGGATTGTAGTATTTCAACCCTCTTTCCATTATCATGTTTGTCAAACCATATTTGGAAATGTAGCGCCTTTTTAAAAAATTTTGATTAGCCAAATTAAATTTGGAACAGTTTGTTTGAGGCGTTCATTGTTTGAGCTTGAAACTACTGAAATGAGTAAGTACAAATTATAATTGTTTTAGTAAAATAACTGTTTATTATTTAAACATGACGAAGAGGGCAGGATAGCCCAACGCAAACGGGACAGGTTGACCATATATGAAAACCTATCCTAAACTCTTTTTTTATTATCAAATGGTTTTTTACATTTATATTGTATTGTTTTATGCTTTGAAATTTTTTTTAAATTAGGATTCATTCTACTGCTTATAGTATAATGCTATTTAAATTATGCTAATTATGCTAATTATGCCATCTAAGTTGCTTTTATACTTTAAAATATGAAAGCTTAGACCTTTAGACTTTAGGCTCAGACTGATTCAAACATTTTGACTGCTTTCAGTATTGAATAATGAAAAAATCTTTCTATAAAAAATAAAACCTCAAAGACCAAAAAATCCTGGACCCGCCCCTGATAACAACAAAAACCAATGCTTTAAATCAACTTCTAACATCAGCCACTAAAATCCGAATAGAAAATAGCCACTATGTGATTGGTCTACTTTCTTTGATCTTTCTGCTGCTTTATTACAGAATCAACTATTATGTACAATTCAAAACTGAATGCACAAAATGAAACAATAATTAATAAGATCACAAATGATATATTTGAATTATGTGTTCGTCGTAAAACAATTAATTACACAGGCCAACGAAATTTTACATTTTTACTTTTTTTTTTTAAGCAGCCGAGGCGCAGTGGTAGCGCTTCCCTCAGAAACAAAGGATCCGTGGTTCAAACCCCACCTTTGGCTTGTTTTGCGACATTGTTTAGGAAAGAGGCGTGAACTTCTTATTAAATGCTCATCCGCGGTGCTCTAAGAAAAGGCGTAAGGACTTCTTGGGGGACCTAAATAAAAATTTAAAAAAAAATCGTAACATTGTCAAAAAAAAAATTTTTATTAAGTATGTCAACCTGGATCTCAAAAGAAGCGTTTTTTTACAGAGATTTTAAAAAACATAAGCTAAAGCGTTTTTTTCCTACATTTGTTTGCTATATAAATATTTTGCATATAAATGCTATATAAATATTTTTTAAATATTTGCTATTTAAATATTTGCTATATAAATATTTTGCAAATAAATATAGTAAAAAAACGCTAAAGATTATCAAAGTTAGCTTAAAAAAAGTTTTTCACAAATAAAATGAAAAATATTTATTTTTATTACAAATATTATTTTTGTAATCTCTGCAAATAAACGCTTCTTTTGAGACCCATATTGACATACTTTTGAAAAAGTTATTTTTTGACAATATTAGGCATTTCACCCCAAATACTTGGGGTTTAAACCCTAATCTCTTTAAAACTTTACGTGATAAAAGAAATAGGATTGCATATTTGAAATTAGAATGAGGAATACTATAAGAAAAACATATTGTATGCAAAAAAAAAAAAAAGAGTAAAAAAGTAAAGTTTCGTTGGCCTGTGTTACAAGCTCACCTTTAGAGCAAACAAAGGGGCTAGTTCAGGCCAATCAAATTTAAGTACAATACAAATACAAAAGTTTGTTGCTTTAATTTATTTTGACGGTAAAAATAAAGATACATACACTAGAAAGAGCTTTTGTGTTGGTTACGAAACCTAGAAATAAATATCTATTACATGTTTCCTCAAAATTAGGCAAAAGCAAAGAAATTGTAGATTGCATATTGTCAGAAATTCACAAAATAAATGTATCTTATGATATAGGAGTTGTCGGTTGTGATAGTATTAATGTAAACAAAGGTTGTAAAAAAGGATTAATGAAGGGTTTAGAACGTCCGCTACAAAAGTTTATTAGTGTTCTGCACTCAAATGACTCCATTAAAATTTTGTTTAAACAACTTGATGGTCCAACATCCGCAACAAGTTCATTTACTAATGATAAAGCCATTCAAGTTATTAAGAAATGGATTGTTGTCAAGTTTCAACACATTGAAGATGGAAACTCACTTCTTGATTTTAGAGATATTCAACAATATATGTAACACATTATTTTTGCAATAAGAATGAAAAACATAACGGAAGAACGGGCTAGGGTGAAACCTGGACTGGCGAGGGAGGTTTGGTAGATTCGTCTCCGGGCCCCTGCTATGTCAGAAGGTGAGGATCTTACTATAAATCAAAATACACAAACAAAACACTCAAAAATATAAATTAAAAATAACTAATTATTGTTAATATGCATCAACTTTGCAAAGAAATACAATAAAATATGGTTATTTCTACGATTTAAATATGAAATGTTTAATAAAATATACAAAGATATTGTAAAGCTTATTACACCGTAAAGTTTATTATACATCGTCTTATTATTTATTAGTGGTAGAGTAAATTATCTTGAGTAAGTAACAAAAAAGTTAACCTAATACAAAAAAACAGTCGTAAGTATATATTTTATATTAGCCCAGAGCCCTTGAGATGATAAAAATGTGCTCGTGAAAATTATTTTTGGACCCCTCCTCCTTATGATGATTATTTTATTAAGACATCTAGAACGTAATAATAATTATAACAACAAGCACAGGCTTGTAAGAACCCAATACTTCCCAACCAGAAAGTTCCAGAAATAATTATTGGGGCTGAAACTTTTGTTACCTAAAATATCATTATTTCTTACTAAACATTATACTTCAGTTATTTGTATTTATAAAAAATATATAATGAAATACAATTAGAGTTCAGCTATATAATGAAATACAATTAGAGTTCAAGGCAAAATGGATTAATCTAAAAAAATTCTCATTTTCCAATAAAATATTTTTTAGAAAATTTTTTTATATAAAATTAAAAAAAATTATAATACAATCAAATAAAATATATAACACTAAATCAGGCGCGGATCTAGCATTTTTTGGTCTTTATGATAACTAACTTCCAGACATGGAGCAAACTACAAACATTTATATGTTTACACTTATGGTTAAATAAGGATGCTTTGCAAAAAATTGCGATAATTGGAGCCTGGAAACTTCATTGAGTGTTTCTTTTTATAAATTGATTCCCAATGCTAACATTTGGGAGCTTTAGAGGAATTTTGTCTCTTTGATAAAGGCGATGAAAAATATACTTAGTTTTGGTTAAGTTTAATGACAATTTATTTGTATTAAATCATTCAGTTACTTTTAACAGTTCTTTGTTGACTGTTTTAAATAAGATTTTTATATTTTTATAGGATTAAAATAAATTGGTATCGTCAGCAAACAAAATAGAGTCTAAAATATTTGAGGCTTTGCTTAAATTGTTAATGTATATTAAAAACAAAAGCGGTCCTAAAATGGATCCTTGAGGAATTCCGCTAGTGATTGTCTTATTTTCAGTTTTACCACCATCATAAGAAACTTCTATTAGACAAGTAGTTTTTAAACCAAACTATATTTGCATTTTTAACTGCGTATTTTACTAGTTTTTTTAATAAAATATGGTGGTCAACTGTGTCAAAGGCATTGCTAAAGTCTATAAAAATACCTAATGTATACTCTTTTTTATCAAAGGCTCGAAAAATATCATGAACAAGTTTAAGAATAGCATGATCAGTTGAATAAACTTTTTTGAACCCAAATTGTTTGTTGTATATAATACCATTTGAGAATAGTTTATTATACATTATTCGTTCCAGAATTTTAGAGAAGCAAGGAAGAATGGAGGTCTTTAATTAGAGACATTAAAAGAACCACCCGATTTGAAAACCGGTATAACTCTTGCAGTTTTAAAACTTTTTGGAAATATTCCTTGTTTTAAAAAAAGATTAAAAATATGCAACAGTGGTGTTATTAAATAGATTTTATTACAACATTACTGCTTATTTCATCAACTCCTAATCCTTTGTTTGGTTTTAACGTTTAAAAAGCAATTAATAACTCATTTTTAGTCAGTTTATTGTTGGTCATTATTGTATTGTTATCAGTTAAATATGACTCTACGCTAAATTTGCTGGGTTTTAGTTTTAGGGCTAAATTTGATCCTGCGCTAACAAAAACTAGATTAAATGTTTTTGCAATTTTTGATTCATTAAGTATATAACGTCATTAAAGTTTCTTGTTTTTGGAAGACAATTAGTTGATAACTTTCTTTTACCAATTAAATCTTTAATGACATTCAAGGTTTTCTGAGTGTCGCCTTTGAATTTTAGTAACTGATTTGAATAAAATATTTTCTTTGAACGATTTATAACTAGCTCAAAAATACCTTTATATTTTTTGTACTTGGATTCATTATCAAATGTTCTTTTTTTAAGAAATTTTTTGTACAAACGTTGTTTCTTTTTTGATGATTTTAATATTCCGGTAGTTATCCATGGGTTCAAATAGATTTAATAATTTTTGTTACCTCTGGAAATGCATTATTGTAATGTTTTTGAAATATTTGAAGAAAATTGTCATAAGCTTTGTTAGTGCTTTTATTTGTAAACTAT